TTTTAAAGAGGAATGAGTCAACAGCACCTGACCAGGAATAACATTTGCAGCATGTGAGCTTGAATGGAAAAACATATCTGTGCCCACCTGAACATTAGTTTAAGTGACAAGGGCAACAGATGCCCCAGCAGGACCTATTCTGGCTGCCTCCCAGGTCAGGGCAGAGCCAGATCTGCTGGTTACCAGTCCTGTATCTAGGACTATGCAATGGCTCCTGAAATCCCGTTAACCATGATAACTGACACTCCAAAGAGAATGGCAGTCTGCTTTCCTGATTACACCCAATAATCACTATGCTCTGAAGATAAAGCACAATAATCCATCTGCTGCTTAATGTGGCAAAACTCTACCTAAGGGCAATAAGCACAGTCCTTTGGAGACCAATCCCAGATGACTGTGGACTATTAATTTGGATCCAGAAAGGGACAAATTCACAGGCCACATTTTTCCAGGGAAGGAGATACCCAGATTAATTCCTTTTCTAGTCTTCCTGCTGTGACCTCACCTGCTGTGTGACTCAAAGATGAGAAACAGGATCATCTTTCAGACTTGACTATCCAAAACAAGGTTAACCCTGTGTAAATATCTCCTCTTCCTTTTTCCCTTCTTTCTCTGGGCACTTAGAGACCAAGATTTCTGCCAAAGACAAAAATGGCACCAGCAAAAGTCTGCTTATCCATCGTCAGAATTTGGTGAACTAATTAACTTCTCTTAACAGAGGAGACAGGTACTCTGCTACCAGGCTTTGGTGGCTATCCAAAAAGGGAGAACCCATTCACGTGTTTGAGCAAGGGTTTGAGACAGCAAGCAGTGAGTTCTGTGAGGAAGAATAAACCTACCTGTGGAAAAATACTGGGGTAGATATATCAAGAATCAGGTATAATGAGTGCAAGGCTGAGCTGGCCCTTCACTGAGCTGTCCAGTAGCTTATGACATGCTATTCAGGATTGACAAAACATCAGAGCTAACACAACATCATTCCAGCAGGATAATGTACCAGGATTGCAATTTACACCACACTGTTATATGTGGCTTTAGAAGAGTAAAATCCACTGTGATATGACAGTCATCTCAAAGGCCAGCTGTAGCAACAGCTAGAGTTTAGGGTCACTACTAATCTTTATAATTCATGGAAATGCTATTTGGATCCGGCTTTTAGGATACATAGCTAATGTAGTAATTTTTTTTCCAACTTATTATGCATTTGCTAAATTTATATGTAGGTAGCATTCTTTTAACTGATTCACACATACACTCTTTTCTTTCATATATACTGGCTCAGATGACACACTGTATTCCAAAATCCAGACTGCTGCACATTTTCAAGCCCACTGTGTGTGTTTTACAGCCTTATGCTATCTTACCTACACAGGGTGACCAAGCCCTTATTTTAAACTCACCTCTGCAGAGGATTCATTTTTCCGTTGGGATTTTTCTGAGCGAGTGCCTGGTCCTGAAAAAAGCCTTGACAACAGCATCAGCAATAGCATTGATATTATTAACAGCAACACTCTGCTCTTCCATTACTATGTTTATTTCAAGATTTCAAAGTGCTATGTTTATTATGCCCCACAAATCCTTGAAAAGATGGGTCAGTTTTATTCCTGTTTTGAAGATATGGGAAAAAGATGACAAGACAGTGCCACTCCAAGTGGTAGCCAGGTTCCCAGGAGTTATGACAAGCCCAGTCTCTGACCAAGATACATTTCTTCATCCTTAACCACAGAGCTAGAAGGCTGCAAGGACTTTCATGAACTTATTAATCTTCCAAAACTCTACAGTTCAGACCAAGAAGTTCAGCCTCTCAGGGCTGATGACAGACAATTACAGCTCATAAGACAAAAGAAGAGCAGCTTTTTCTGCTTGCAAAATAAAAAAATAATAGACAACCCAAACACTTTTTTTTTTTCCCTGACAGCTGACTTGGTCTTTTTGTCTTTTTATTCTCTTTCCACTACTGCAGTGCAGTTGGAAAAGCCTATTTCTGGGCTAGTTTGTTACGATACAGCACTATATGCCTGAGGATGAGGGGAGAAAAAGAGAAGAAAAGAGAAACAAAAACAGGTTCTGACATCTAATCAGATCTGCTGTATTGATTTTGCAACTTTAGCTTTAGAGCAAATCAGAGAAACAACCACATTATCACCCAGAATTTGCTCTTCCTTTGAGTGAGCCAGTTCAAAAGGAGCTCACAACAACACAGACAAGCATGCCTACATGCACACACACACACACGTGCGTGCCTGTGTGGATGCACACCCCATCGAAGTGGCTCTCTGGTGGGATCCGTGGGCTAGGGGAGGAGGGGAAAGTGTTCATCGCAGGGGCTGCAGGAGCCACACGATCCCCATTTCCAACAAGATGAGAATTCCAGAGCAAGTCACTGGACTAACGAGCTACCCGTACTGGAGAGCAGCGTTTCAATTAACCACAGTGGCTCCTGCCATGGTACCTATCTCATTCCAGCTGCATGAACAAGGAGGAGAGTGATAAACTGGGACTGTGCTGTTTGCTGAGGGGTTTTTTTTGCATGGGAAGAAAGGTTAGACCCTATAAAGGAGATGAGGGCAATTCTTGCCCTGCTTTCTTGGTCTGCAGCTTGTTTTACTTGCTGATGGAAGGAGCAAATTGACAGCCCCGAAACCAAAGCTGCCTATTCAGGAGCAGAACAGGCAGTGCCACTGTAAGGTCCTTCCACAGTTTCCAGGCAGGAGTAGACAGCTCAGGTGTACAAACACTTAATACACACTCAGCTCCAACTAAGGGTATGCAGAGCTGATGGAGAAGAGGGCCATTTGGGTGGGCTGCTGCATAGACCATGTCACCAGCAAGACCACAATAAAGCATTGCTTGGCCTTGAGAAGAGGTATAGAAAGAATATGTTGAGTTGCTCTTTACACAGAAGTTCATGACATCCTTGCCTTCTCTGGGGTCACATCAAAGGCTCCAGAACAGCTTCTGGCTTGTAGCTACCATCTTTCGTGTGAGGGGAGTCATGTCCTTCCCCTCCAGCCCAAGATTCGGTCCTATGATCCCCTTCCAGAACAGATTATAACCCTGAATTCATCTCAGGCTCGGCACTGCTGCTCCCTCTGCAGGGGCAATGCAAGGCAGCGAGGACCTCACAGCTTTCAACCACCAGCGCCAAACCGGGGACACCAGCAGGTCTGACAGTTCTTTGTTCCAGAGATTTTTGCTGCATCTTCCATCGGTTCTTGGGTGACCAAGAGTCTCCCCCCCTTGCCATGTCCATACGCCTGACCCAGACTGTTTTCCAAAACAGCTTAAACCAAGATGCACATTTCCAACCTGCTTAAGAGAAGCTTCTCCACACATACGTACCTGCATGGAAACCTGCACACATTTCCCAGTTCTCATCCTGTATTTTAATTCCTGCCATGCCCCTGAATGGACTGAGATAATTTTAAAAGGGCATCTTTGAATACTCAAAGTGCCTGCAGGATTTCGCATGCCTCCATTACTGCTGTGCTCCCAGCAGCTCACATCTCTGAGCAGTGTGTCCAGGTGGCTTCAGCCAGGTTATCCACTCTAGTCTCACATTTCTTCTTCCTGAAAAGAGAGCCTGGGAGGAGTGTGCCAGCATGTCTAATGAGCACTGCTCTGCTGTGCATGGAGGCTCAGCACTCACAGCCCAGAGGCAGTGTGCTGGGGTGCAAATTAACATGCTCCCTATGCATCCCACACCTGCTAAATCCCTGCTGCTCAGAGGACATGAACAGAATTCAGCAATCACACTATCCTGACGGGATGAGGTATGCAGGGAGGGCTACTCCTACAGTCACAGCTCCTTTCAGACCAAGGCATTTTATACATCTGCCTTCCCCATGTCTGATTCAAATTCTTGAAGGACAGAGCACAGACCCCCGCACGTCAAAACACACCTCAACAGCATGGCAGCTGAGCAGGCACTCACTTCTCTGAAGGGAGAAATCACTGCAGGGAAAGGATGGAGACAGTCACCCAATGTGGACACCAGCAGCATCCCTACCTCCACATTCACCTTTGTGTACAGGTATTGCCTTCAAGCAGGATTGGGAGCACCACCTGTACTGAAATCACTCAATATTAAGTTGAATCTAAGAATTAGTTTTCTGTTACTCACAGCTTTATTGTATGGAAGCCTTTGAGAGTATTCAGTTCCTGTTAGTGTCTGCCTAGCTCTGCTTTTCAGGAAAAATGGTTCAGGAATGTCCAGAAGTGACAGCTGGGGTAACCAAGTTGAAGAAAGGATTGTAGGGTGGAAACAGTTTAATTAACATTCACTTGGTACCTTTTGAGTGCTTGACTTTACAAACTTACCAATGTACCCTGAAGGTATTTTACCCATATGCAATGCACACAAACACACACCTGGTAAAGCTGCTGTTCTGCACTCATCCACTGGTAGGGAAATGGAAAGCACTGCATACCAACACACACAACACATTTCCCTTCCACTTCCAACGCACTGGCCACACAGTATCCTGTGCAGAACCTTGTGTTGCCAGACCAATTAAGCTAACTGTTCGAAGGTCCCTAGACAAAAGAGATGCATCTGCTCAGCCTGGTAAGAAAGATCAACTATGCCTGAAAGCAGCACCAAGTGTGTGAGCTCTGCTTAGCCCACAGGCTTTTAGGTACACAGGCATTCAGACAGGTCCTACTGCATGGTTATACTCACACTGCACATTGAGCTGCACCAGGGCTTCCCGGGGTCTGATGTTAAAGCCATTGTACCTGGCTGTCTGACACTTATAAGTCCCACTCATTTCTCGGCTCACACTCTCCAGGCGCAGCTTCCCATCGTATGTCTCCATCGTCATTGTCCCTGAAGGCATGGGGGTTTCCTTATCTACCCGGGACCAGATGATGGGTGGTTTGGGCTTTCCTCGAACCTCACACTGCAGCTCAGCCCTGGAGCCCTCCCGGACGGTGATGGTGGACTGACCCTTAGGGACGCTGATGGTTGGTGGCACTAAAAGGAAGACAAGAAGGGAATAATTTTACACCGAGTTTCCAGGGAGCAAGGAACATTCTTGAGATGCCTGTGTTTGAGTAACACCAACAGCTCTGAACTCCAAAGGTTTCTGCTTGACATGGTACAACGTCTATAGGAACATAGTGTCCATGTAAGTCATCCTACAGGGTCTGGACCTGCAGGGTACCAAGGAAAACCCCAGCTTCTCCAAAAATGTATCCCAATACCAAAGGCAAGTGCCAGCTCCTATCCCTCTGTTTGCAAAATGCTGCCAGCAGCGAGGCTAGCACCAAGGAATCCAAAGGCAAAAGCCTCTTCTATCCATTTCTCAATTTTTGGCCATCAGTGAATTTCTCAAGTGAAATCGCAGTCTTTTGACCAAGAAATTAAAGTCATATCTGCCAAAGTATCTAGTTCCTTTACCCAGGTCAGACCAAACCCAAAACTTACAGGATTAGTGCCTGTTGATCATATCTCAAGCCTTACCAGACAGCCAGGATCCCTGGTTACTCCTGAACTACAGCAAGGAGCCAGCTTGGTTAAGTGCCTCTGGTTACTTTAAGTTGAGATTCAGAGCACACTAGTTATCTCTGGCTCACGTGAGTGAGAGTGGGTCCCAGCAAAGATTACTTCTGGCATCTCTCCCAGGCTGGGAAGAGCTCAACCAGCAGAACTGCTGCCAAGCCATGGCTAGAGCTGGAGGCACAGTAACACTCGAGAAACATCCAGCTATCAACTGATAACAAAGCTTTGCTGATAAACAAAGCTCAAAAGAAACCCAATGACTCCAGCTAGAAGGTGCTGGTGGGGAGAGGTTTGCTGTTCATACGCCCACTCCACCAAGAACCCAGGAAGGGAATGCTCGTACTAAAACCCATGTAATATTACCATTTTATTTGTATTGGGCTTCAGAGTTAACAGTTCAACTGGGGTAAATACGGCCATGATCGATTTCTGAAAGCTCCTTTTTGAGCCCTTTCTGCTGACAGCAGCAACACTTGGATTGACACTTCCATAACTGCAAATGCCATGTATTTCGTTTCCATTTAAATCAAAGTTTAGAACTACAGAGGCTGTAACAAGTCGGTCTGACCAATGTTAGCTCAATTCCACTCCAGCAAAGGAGAATGTGCTACAGTAATTGTACACATTACATCCCACAGCTGCTTTATGAGCAGATTTAGGATGGCTCCAGCCCAGTCTCCCTATGCAAGAAGGAGGACACATTTTCAATTCACAGGTCTCCTGTGGGATGGGGAACCTCATCACACCCTGTCCTGCACAGCATGAAGGGACGACAGCACTCTCAGTGCCAACACACTGCCGGCAGCGGCTCACCTGGCGAGAGGCAATTTTATCCATGGGAAAAAGCAGTAAATTGCATTTGAAGATGTTTAACTAAAGCTACCTCCTCGGAGCTGCTCAGTGGAGGCAGCCACCTTGGCGAGCTCAGGCTTTGCCCAGAAGGGAACCATGGAGCCCCTGCTGCCACCCTCCTACTCCAACCCTGTGGCTGGGGGAAAACCCACTGGGTTTTTATGTAGGAACCACATGTTGGAAGTGGTTGTTCATGGGGATCTCTTGGCTGCTGCATGGAGGGCCACTCTGGTAGGGATGGTGGTTTTCACTTCCTGGGTCACAAAGTGGTTCTACTGGACCAGGCTGCCAAACAGAGGCTCCAAAACACCCCAGCCTGCCCTCTCCCATCAGCAGCATCCACATGAGTATGGGGGCCTCAGCCTACACCAGACAGGCAACCTGCCACTGCAGACACTTCCTTTAAGGCAGCAACCAGCTGGTGCTAGGACCAACACCTGCACCAACAGACACTGCCCAGCCTTTTGGTGGAATCATCCAGGGTCTGCCAACCCTCTGCAGCCTCCTACCCTTGCAGGCTTAAACACAACTGCTCTCTGCCATCTAGTGATCTTGGGCAAGAAAGATTGCTCATGAAGTCAGGAGAGCCAGCTTTGCACCAGGACTGGAGAGATCCCAGGGGAACTGCGGGTTCTAGGAACTGGGAGTTCTCCTGATTTTGTTCCCTGCTGGTACAACAGGGTTGGTGTCTGCTGGCATGGAGAGGGCCCTATCTTCCATGAAGGGAAGCATCACCCTTGGGTGTTTACTGGGTCCGTGGCACAGTCAGGGCTTGCTTTCTCAGATGCTAATGAACACTAGGTGCAGTCCCAGCTGGCCCTAGCACTTCTGGGAGACTGGGGCTTCCCAAAGCATCAAAAACAGTTGCAGCACTTTCTGTGGGGGTGAGGGGCCTGAAGTGAGCAATGTCCAAAATCAAGACTGGGACCAGCCAGGCCAAGGATCCAGCACAACGAGGGTTGGAGAAGAAACTTTCACTGAAGTTTCAGGGCAAAATATGTGGGCAGCTGGCTCCCCTCAGGAGTCCTCACCAAATTACTGGTGCAATACTGCTTTGTGCTGTACCTTCTAGGTCTTGGGAAGGCAGTAAGATGACGTGGATGTAACAGAGAGCAGAGCTGGACCCACTACTTTCCCAGAAACAAAAAGGCAGCCCTGAGACCCTGTATTTCAATCCCTGAGGTGACCGACCAACACACTCACAGATTAGTCCTGTCCTCACCAAGCCATGGGGTGAAACTTTGACCCTGATTTTAAACAGGGAGGGACAGGGCATTTGTAACACTTGGACTCCCACAGAGAGTGCCCAAGACAGATTGCAATTGCAATCCAGTAAACACTAAAGCTCTTCAGAGAATTTGTTATGACAGATGATACCAATCTCCTGTCCACAGCTCTGAAAAAAGGGACATTCCTCACAAGCAATGCCAAAGAGAGGAAAGAGCAGCTTGCTTTCTCTTTTACTCCCTTCTAAGCAAAGGGACATTTGAAATTTGGTGAAATACCACTTGCTCTTTCTTCCATCACAATTTGGAGGCTTCTTTGAAAGACACTGTAAACCTGTCTTGCAGCTTTGACTGGACTTTTCATAAGGAAAAAACATAAAGAAATATCTGCTTGGTGCATAACACATCTGGTAGAGGAGCCATAACTGTCACCCATCTCCAGGCTTAGCTAAATGACTGCCTGAGGATGAGACATTTGGATTCAAGACACTAATGTGAGGTCCTTCAAAAAAGCCAGAGGCACTGGGGTGGGGGGCAGTTTGTAATGCCAACCACTCCTCTGAGTTCCGCAGCTGGCACAGAGAGGCTCACCTGTCTCTGAGGAGATGTTCACCTCCACACTGAGGTCAGGAATGGGTGCTCCCTGGAAGGTAGCCACACACATGTAGGTGCCGTAGTCACTGAATCTCAGGTCAATAATCTCCAAGCTGCAGGTCACAGGTGGGAGCTCGGGGTCATTCCGCGTGATGAGCAACCGGTCTGAGAACCTGGCTGGTTTCCCATTCTTGTACCAAGAATAGACAACCTTCTCCTGGGGGACAGCATCTACATGGCATGAGAGCTTCAAGTCCTGCCCTAACTGGATGGTCTCACTCTCTTTGATCACGTCAGGGGTGATTTGAAACGTGGCGTTCTTCATGGCTGGGATGAACACAAGTGCAAAAAAAGTTAGCGACAACAAAACATCTTGCATGGGACAGGACAACCGCCTTTTGCTCTTCAGGAAGGCAACACCACCATGCAAAATCTGTTTGAAGACTTCTCGTGGTTACATTCCTACAGAATTTCCCCAAGGCTTCCCATCTGGCAGTCTAGGATCATTCTCCAGTCCAGGATAGTGCTACAGCCCAGGATGAGGCTGCAGGCACTGCTAGTACAGCTGTTGGTCTGGAAGCAGGGAAGCTTGCTCAGGCATTTCTCCAGCTTACTCATTGCTGCTAAGTTCCACATTCACCCTCAGCTGTACAAGAACAGCCAGGAAAAATGCAAATCTAGCCCCTCCACCCTGAAAACCCCATGCTCTTAGAAAAAGAGCCACTTACACCGCACCAGCAGATTCACTGTCTTCTTTGCTGGGTTCCCCACGTTGTTGATGGCTGTGCAATTGTAGTAGCCTGAGTCCTCCACACGGATCCTCCAGATGGTGAGGTTACCTCCTTGCAGAAGGCTATTGGGAGGCATTGGGCCAGGAGAGTGAGACCAAACCACCTCTGGCTGTGGGTCACCACCCGTCAGAGAGCACTGCATGGTGATGTTGTCACCAGGGTTGACCACCAGCGTCTCATTGACAGACAACTTCAGAGCAGGTGGAGCTGGAAAAGTACAAAGAGGCACACTTCTGAGCATAAAAAGGACCCATCCAATTGTGTGTGCACAGCTTCATATTTTCTAGGATTTGTTCTTGAAAATGGCTGATTTGAGTAGGGAGAGCTGGAAGGATCCATGCATTCATTGCAAATACAAGGTGTTTGTGAACCTAAAGCATGATCATTACCATGTCTTTGAGTCAGAGCACTGTTATGGTTAGGAGACAGTGTTAGGCAGGACCTGACACTTCCCGAGAATGGAGGTGATTGATACCTAAACCACTCCATCACTATGCTTAGAATTGGGGCATAAGCTAGGCTTTTGCAGTATTCAATGCAGGTTCTCTATGGCTTAGGACTCAGGTCAGATGAAAAGCCTGATGGAGCCCCTTTGCACAGGTAGGAGTGGCAACCAGACAAAATTTGGCAGTGGAAAACCCAAGGCTAGAGGCTTCCTGACTCCTGGTAGAAAAAACTGCAGCTAGGCAGAAGGGCAATGGAAAGCCACTGTACCTCTGCGTTACTCACCTCCACTGCACCCAGCCCTCTCCTCTGCAGACACCACTGTGCCTTCTGTTCTGCCTGTATTTAACTCTCCTGACTCTAGGCAGGCCCTGCAGAAGCAGCACTGGTGAAAAGGCTCAACTGGTAGCTCCTACTAAAGTACCTGTCTCTCTCTTGCTGCAACACTATCGTATGAATCACAGTTAGTCTGCTTGTGCCTTGGACAGAAACAGCACAATGGACTGAGCTCTGAGAAGAAGCAAAAAAAGCAACAAAGAAAAGGGGACAGGAGAACAAGAGATTCATTGTCACAAGGCGTGGAAAGCTGCAGCCATGGATTGAGCTTCACCTCTCAGGACCCAATCCAAAGCATGCTGGGAAGCTCAGTGGGATGTCAGTGTTTGCTGGACAGTTCTCACAATCCCAATGGAAGGTCAGGCAGAGCACCAGGCACATGCCCAGTCACAGCCTCCTCCTTCTGCCTGACCACCAGAGCTCAGCCTTTGCCAGGCACCTGGCCCTTGCAGCTGGGAGCCTGACACAGAGGACTAGGACTTGTCTGCACCATAACAGACCATGAACTGCATCCACTCTTAACCCCCTTAACCTCCACAAGCACCAAATACACTTTTCTATAGACCTGGGGACCACAGAGCAGGTCACAGGGACTGTCTTTCATGCACAACTGAACTGAGACTAGTCTAGAAAATGTCTAGACAACCTCTCCTTTGAATACCCTAGTACCCGATTTTGGTTTATTTTATTTCTTCATCCTTCTCACTACACCTCCCTCCAGGAACTGATCCAAAAATACTTCCCATGAAAAGCCTTTTAAAGCCCTTGTCAGCACCATCACTGCTTCCATCCAGACAGAACTGAGAAAGTAGCAGTCCCCAGCACAAAGACAGGGAGTATGTTTTAAGTAACAGCCATAATAATGCAAAATAAGACATTGTTCCATATTCATGAAGCCTGATTTAATGGCATCATTATTTCTGCCTCTTCTCTCCCTGGACCCTGCGTTAATGAGCTGTGCTGGATTTGCATTGGATCTCTGAATTACAGCCCATACAAACAAGGCGGGGAGCACTGCTCTCTCCTCAGAACCAGCACCATAATTTAGCAGCGCAACCACTGCCACACTGGGATATTGCTTTGGTGCACTGAATCAAACGCCCTCTCCCCAGCCACAGCACATGCTATTTGTGCCAGAGGTGGCCAGCTGTGCCTAAGGAAGAAGATGGCTCCTCTGCCACCTGCACTGGACATTTTGAGGCCAGCATCTTTGAATTTCAGGAGGCCACAGCCTGCACCCAAAGCCTTTGACTTGCTGGAGTCTTGGAAACAGTGTGCAAGGGTTAATACATACTAACTGGCAAAGAAAGGATTTGTACATCTTCTCCAAGCTCCAGGCAGTTTCACAAGATGCTATGAAGCCCAGGAATGCAACTGCCCAACTCACAGTGGTCAGGCAGGATGCATTCCTGTCACCAACAGGCTGTCAGCTGTGTGTAGCTGACACCAAATAGCCGTTCCTGCCCTCTAACATTGGGCAGGTTCACAGGGCACAACCAAACTGACAGATGCAGCATCTTGCCCAGGAATCTCCATCCATCCCCGTCAGAGCCAGAGAAAGGCTGAGACCAGCCTATGTCCAGAGTTGGAGAGCCCAAACCAGAGGTCCTGCAAGCTCTGGTTAAGATTTAGGGCTCTTGCTGTGTTTGATGTGCACGTATCTGATCGACATTCATCCTGCCTAGCTCTGGGCAAGGCAACATGGAAAAAAAAGTGACATGCTGGTGCATGCAGTGCCTCGGGGCAGGTTGCATTGTGCATGCAAGAGGGAGGCAGAGAAACTGCAAAGCTGCCACCTGCACAGCCCCAAGCAGCAAGCTCCCATGTGGTGCCCCAAAATGGAGACCTAGCTGTGGCAGCCTGCGTGGGCTCCCACTTCCACTCCTGCCAGCAGACAGAGGTTAACAGTCTGCAGACATTGTTATGCAGGAGATGAATCTCATTTATTTGTAACCTGTGGCGATTCCTTTTGTTCTTGGCTCAGAAAACCTGCTAGCGGAGTCTGCTGAGCAGCAAGGGGACCATTAAAAACAAAGAGTCGCTTTCAATTCCCTTTGAAGTCCAATTTGCTGCAGTAAAGCTTCAGGAGAATTAACCAGATGGGCTGCTTAATTTTGCCGAAATTGAGGAAGGGGAAAACATCAGCCCGACTGTGGTGGAGCAGGTGATGACAGCCCAGTGCTGAGCTAGTCCTGCGGCTCTGCAGACCTAACCTGCTGCTCTAGCCACACGACATCCTCAGGACAGAGAAGGAGCAGATAAAACCACCTTCCCATTAAGGTTGCAGACCAAGAACCCATTCCCTACTGCAATTCCCAAGCTCTGCTGACACAAGAGCTTGGGAAAAGCACATCCCTTGCAGGAAACTACAACCTGCCCAAAGGCCATTGCCAGAGTTGACAAAGCAAGCCAGCTGAGGAACAGCAAACGAACTTGGAAGAGAAGATTCCCTTGGCCTAACATGACCTGACCCTCAAGGTCTGTAGTACTTGGTTCTATAAATATTTAATAGATCGATTTCTATGCACCTCTGTGCTCTTTGGGCCCTCCTCAGTTGCAAAGGTGAAGGCATCCTGAGCAAAGCTGCTCAGGATTCTGGGCACAGCCAGGGCTACAGAGACTGCTAAAGCACAAGTGCAAGAGGGAAAGAAAAGAACTATGCAAAAAAGGAGAGAATTAAAGATTTTTCTTTAAATATTTTCTCATCTATGCACAATACTACCTACAGGGCAAGTAAGCCAGATAATATTTCATGTTAAATATACTTCTGTTATTGAACACAACCTTGCTCACACCACAATGTCAGCTTCATTTTCACTGCTAGCTTTCAATACAATTTGCTAGGAACACATTTGCCATGGCCTCTTTGAGCTTGCAGTGTCAGGCTCCACTGTAACTACGTATAAACATGCACATGTAACTAAACAACAAGAAAAAAGAACTAGATTTATGTGCTATGTGGCCCAAGTTCAGAGCTTAGGTAAGAAATTGGTGTAAGTTCAGCTATATCACTGTCTTCTGATCTAGCTACAATCTGAAAATACATTTTCCCCATACACTAAGGGGCTGAACTGAAATGAAGGGTAGTTTCCCTGTGCTTGGACTGGCAGGGGGGAGTGGACATGAAGAGAAATTTGATTTTCTATCTCTTCAAAGGTAAAGGCACAACAGGGAAGAAGAGCTATATGAAATCCCTTTCTTCATCATTAGCACAGGGTAAGTTTTTAAAGGGAATATTCCAGCATCAGCTACAGTCTCATCCTGAGAGAAATTCAGGCAGTAGTGTGAGTTGCTTTAGACATGTTCAGAGATCTTACTACATAAAGAATATTTTCTTCTGACATTAGCAATAGTTCACCTTTTTAAGCTCATTATTCTTCTTCATTCTACATAAAATAATGCAACTATTGTTCAGCACCTTGGGGCCAAGTCAGATGAATGAACATAATTTACAGTATCAACAATATCCTGTCAACAGTTGGCATCATCAAAAAAGTTCTGTTTCCACTGCACAAAGATGACAGAAGGGATGCATACTGCTTTGTGTTACATTAGAGAGGTGAATAATTCAAACAACTACAATGCCTTTCCTTCTGATCATAGAACACCCCAGGGCTGGAAGTGATTTCCAAACATTTACTTATTTTTTGCAAATATTCAACATGTGGGGGCTTTGTGGGTGCGGGATTTTGTGGGTGTGCTTTTGTTGTGGTTTGTTTTCAATGGACAGGTTGTAATCAGGCTTTGCAAGTATTTGGTACACTATACTTGGTTATCAGTCAGTTATTGCAGTTCAAGCAAGAGACACCAAACTAATTCTGTTTGCAACTGAAGGCACACTCAAGCACTGCCGATATGAATATCTGTGTAAAATTTATTTATTGGGAAGGCACCGGAGATATTTGCTTTCCACAGACATTGGCACCAATGGAGCCTGTTAGCTGGGAGATGCTGAGAGCACAGCCTGGCAAACCAGGCCAGAGTCACACATGAATGAATTATTTGTAAGAACTCCTGCAGCATCTGCCCCACTCTGGACTGAATCAAATCTATTTTTAAAGTCACTTAGAATTATAAATAAATAAACTAGAGTCTGGATTAAAAACTACATAGTGGCTCAACACCTACACATAGTCTGCTTTAATGATCTCACAGCAGGCCTGGCCAAGGCACTGGGTGTACGCAGAGCTACAAGAAATTAGAGCATCCCTGGCCACAAGACTTCTGCATGAAGGATTCTTAATCCTAGCAGCCATGAGTGTGAGGTTCTGCAGGCACTGGACAGGGTGCTGTGTTACCCTCCTGGAGAGGTAATAGCTATTGAGCAGGTGGGGGATTGGAGGGATGCAGAGACCTCTGAGTCCCCTCTTACCTGTGGTGTTTGTGAGCTGGAAGGTGATGGATTTGTCAGGGATGCTGCAGACGTTGCGGACGGACACCTGGCACGTGTAGCTGGCATAATCCTGGGGCCGCAGGTTCTTCAGCTTCAGGACTTTGGTTTCACCCTGGGAGTTGAGGGAAAAAGAGGAGGGGAAAAGGCACAGGTGTACAAAGCACAGCTCATCACTGCAAGCCCATAACCTGCCCCAAAGTTAATGCAGCTCCCATCAAAACCTCAGGGAATTGTGCAGACTTCAAGCTCCCCTAGCTATACAGAAAGGAGACACCAAGTATTTGCAATCGTAACTCCACCTCCAGGATTTCTCAAAACTGCCAGCAACAAACTGACATTTAACCTGAAAGCACTGCTGAACAGGTCTAGACATAATTTCTTGTCAACTGCTGCCAGAATCATCTTGCAGAATTTGAAAAACTTTAAACATCCCAGAACAGACCTTGAGATCTCACACTGAGATGTCGATAGGAACCCAAGGGATGTTATTGGGGTCTCAAGATTGCAAACCCAAAATCAGAGTGGATTCAGACATCAATGTTGGCCTAAATATGACAAGTTCAACAGTTACTCTGTGAAAAATGGCAGTATAAGGGGAAAAAGATAAATCAGAGAACTATTCAAAGAACTCTGCAAAACTCTCTGATCTCTCTTCTCCAGATTCTAATTTAATTCATGGTGGTGTAAATCCAGAGTGACTACATGGATTATGGCAGCCTTTTCTCATACTAAGATAACAAACAAAATTACTACCTAGCACTCCATTAGTTATTGGCTTGTTACAGAAACAGACTTAAGTTGTTAAATTAACAATAGATGTGTTCTGTAGATTTTTATTTATGGAATGTGGAAAGCTCTAAGATGCATCCCATGGTTTGCACACCCTGCAACTCGTATGTCATCCCATGACAGCTTGTCGCTGTTGTTCTCCTTGTGTTTGTCTACATGTCTTCTGGAGAAATCATTCCATAATTGCCTGCAAATGTGTGAAGGTGTCAGCAAAACAAATCCTCTTGAGGACAACATCAAGGGACTGGACAATGAGCTCAGGCATGCTAATATGTAGAGAACAACGATGTGAGCTGAGTAAATGAGAAAGATAAATACCTAGGAGACCAATAACCCTATGAAAGTCCTGTCCCCTGAGATTTGTTGCTATGCCACAAAAATGATGGCACTTACAATGTGTATATCAACTACTTATTTACAGGATCCTGTTTATAGATTAGTAAATGTTGGGTAAATGTGTATAAACCTGCACTGTAGATAAGTTTTAGAAAGATTAAACAGTAAAGTCTTCACCTCCTTTTTAATGTAAAAGCCCACCCAAACCTGACACTGATACCAGTTCATCTTTAAGACAATATTACAACCCCCTGCAAAGTATGCTTTGTTAAACATAGTGCATTTGAACTCCAGCAACATCTTCTCCTCCCAGTAGTGCTGCAGAGGTGTTTCTATTAATTTCAACTCTTACCAACCCAAACTTACAGATTTATGCTGGTGCTACGGAGAGGACCCTAGGGCATGCCTGTGTGGGCACAGCAGTCCTAACATTCTCTCTCGGAGCTGGGAATGACCCATCATGTTGGGATGGGTCCTGACAGGAGCTGTGGGATGCTGGGTCATTTACACATTAATGTTGCAACATGGTGAATTTCTGCCAGATGCCTTATTTAGCAGAAGAAAATACCTCAAGTCCTAAGACATCCTCTCACTAAGCAATGTCTTCCTGTTAATTACACTGAGTTAGTGAAAGCTAGAAGAGCCCACTGTGGCTTTCTCTAAGGCCAGGCATGTCCTAGTTGGATGCCACATAGCACTGGACTAGGCAAAGCTCTCTTTGGGGCCAAACAGCAGCACTGACCTACAGTGTTTCTGCAAATCTGCTGCTAACCTGCAGCTCTCTTTTCTCTCCTCATCCCTCTAAATGTTTCCGTTTGGCTGCCCATTTCCATGACCTACAGAGATGGTGTGTTTCAATAAAATATGAACATAACTACATTAACTGAAAAGTTGCCTGGGGCATTACTCAGAAATCAAACTCCACCAGAATGTGCGCAGGGCCCAGCTTTGCGAGTGCTGGAAGGTGTGTGGATGAAACGGGTGCCATGGGAAGCTGCCCTTTCAGCTCTCTCTTCCCACCCATCACTTGCCAAACAAACAGCCTTGCTGGAAGCACTGGGGCTAGTTAGCTTCTGAAGGACATTCAGAGCCAGAGCTCAGCTTAGGATAACATGACCAGAGTGTATTGGCTAAAGAAAAATTCCCTTTGGTCTCCTACTGCAGTTGCAAGCTAACTACTGTGAAGAGAGTGGTGTTCCGAGGGGTAACACGGTTGTGCAGGGGCAAGTCCAGCACAGGCAAGCAGGAGAAGCATAAAAGATGTGGACATCTTGACACAGGACAACAGTCCAGAAATGCCCAGGTGGTTGGGCTTCCTGTTACTTGTGGCCATAAGGAAAAGCTCTTCATCATTTGCCTCATGGATCTCATGACAATGCCTGCCATTCGCTCACACTGCTGAACAGGAAGCACTTCCCCTGATGTATGGAGCTCGGGCACTCAATTAATAAAATAAAATTAGTAATGGGAAATAGAGGAGACCTGATCTTGGCATTGTTTGCTTGGGTTTTAGTCTCAGCCATCCAACAGCTACATAGTCTCACCATGGAAGCTGTGGCCTGCTCTCAGGGACAGAACCAAAAAGGGGAAAGTACTTCAGTGCTGTCACTCTCCCTCCTGCCACTCTGCTCCGCTTATACCCTTAGCACCCACATACAGAAGTAGGCTCTACCAGCCCTTTTGAAGACAGTGCTCCCTGCAGCAGCCCCCGTCTCTACCCAGCCTCATAATCCACACAGGGAAGAAAACACTCCCTACTGCAGTGCCCTGCATCAGCAATACACGTAACACAAGTTTGCTTTTTTTCACCTGTGTGTAGAGGGGTTCATAGATGTCCACACCATTGTCCTGACTATGGGAAAGTGTCTCAGCTCCCCGTTTCCAGATGAAACGAGCCGGTGGGTTGGAATTAACAGTGCAGCGGAGGAAGACAGTCTTCTCCTGGTAGAAGCTGCCACGGACATCGCTGATGGTCTGGTGAACGGTGAGAACAGGTTCATCTAGATCTGTAACGAAGGTAAGGAGGGCCGCAGCAGTTGTTAGTGAAGCTTGGTCTGCATGACCAGCCTGCAGAGCAGATGATGCTCCAGGTTCCACAGAGGGGAGGGCAAGCTCCCGCACACTTGGCTGATGACAACTGCTGAATTAAAAGCTGATCTGAGGACAGGTAACACAAACAATATCTAAAGGGAACAGACAGGAGAAGCCAAAACTCTCCTGCTCACCGTGCAACCTCCAGAGAATAGAAAGCACCCCCTGGTATGCAGATCCCCATGTAGTCCTCAAGCAAACTGCCTGCCTGCCACATGCTCCTCAGAGCAGTGGGCTGCCTCATCTTCACCAACGGCACCCCACACCCAAAGTCACCGCTCTCCACTGGGTGGTCAGAAGGTTCTAAGGAAACTCTGCTCCTTCATAATTTCTTCTGCTCTCACTTTCCACTTCCCAAATTCCGCCTGAAATCATGAAGCTAAGCCCATGGCTGTGAGATGCCCACACAAATGACATGATAAACCTTCAGTTCAAGGGGTGAAAGTAAAAATCGGGACAAGATCAAGGAGCTGAGATGGAGAGTTATCTCCTATTCAGGAGCAAGTCTCGTGGGGAGCCATGGGAATATGAGATGCAAAACACTGTGATAGATATGCACAATTTCTCTGTCCTCCTATTAAAATTTCCTTTGTGTATTTTCTTCTTTTCAAGATCTGTACTGATTCTCCCTCTTCAGCAACTTCTATTCACCGTATCCCTATCTATCATGCACCCCTAAACTGATCAGATTCTTTTGTTTTCTCCCTTTACAGAAAACGATCCTTCCAATTCCCTCACCATACCTGCACTGGACATATAGCTATCATGAATCAATGGTGATCAGTCACGTAACTTGCAAGGACACAAACAATAGCCCTACAGGGATCATGCTTTCTCCATCCACTCGAAACGCACTGCTCCACCCAAGGGTTGCCCTCCTGCTAAAACTGGATCATTTTCTTGGGTTTTTCCACTAGACATCAGTGTTTGCACATCAAGGAAGCATGCGGAAAACCTCAGATCTTTCTCCTCCCAGAACCAGTTTAAGACTGATTGGGGTTAAATGTAAAGATCCCATTTAACAAGATGGGACCAACTGGCCCCCTAAAACTGAAATCTGTCCCTGTGCCCTTAAGCATGTCTTAAAAGGTACCTGCTGAGCTCAGGTGAAACAATTCTACACTTTCAGGAGCCTTATGACCCCATCTTCAACTGCAAGGAAACCAAAGCACATGCACCCAGTGTCCTCTAGTGCTGCCAGTGCTGTCTTCTGCACATGTTAGCAGAGAGCAAGAGGACATGCTCATCACCTGCTGCTCTCCTATGCCACCTAATTTTCTCGATACTTTATTTCAGAGATCTGTAAGTTTGGAGATCTGACTCCCAAAAAGGAAGAGGGAAGCAGGGCTGAGTTTCTTCTAACTTATTATCCAAATAGCATATGTTCTTTTCTGAATCACAGGCATCAACTTGTGGATTTGCATATTTTAATGAGCTCTATGCTTGGTAGACAGCAATTGTAATGGGACCTGCTTGACCACATCATAGCTCAGACATATGAGTAGAGCCATTAGCAGAACAAGGACAAGGCACAAAAAAAACCCCAAAGCCCCAAAACAAAACAGAACCCAAAGCTGAAGAAAAACATACACAGGTAGAAAAAACCCCACAGCTCCTCTCCATGCAGTGCTGCCTCCATGTGCCTAGGGTGCCTGAATTTTACACCAAATTATTTTGGACCAGGACGATGGGGGTAGCCTTTCCTCTTTCCTCCTTCTTTGTCCTCAACCCTCCTTTATTAGTTCACACTTCAAAAGAGTAACTCTATAGTGCCATCCTTCTGAGGCTCCATTTCTCATCAGGATGCATGGCAAAACACTTCCTTTATTGATCAAAGAAGATGCTCACCATTCAGGTCTCCCGGCTCCCAGCTACTCCCCACACAGAAAACACCACCTTCCTTTAGGTTGCTAAACCTTTCTTCCCTTGAATCTTTCAGCCTTCTTTCATAGCAAGTCAGCTCCAAGCCTAGCCCTCCTGAGAAAAGCTAAAATAAGACCTACAACGGTATGTATGTCCTTCATGTACAAGTAATGCCACTGATGTCAGTGAGCTGCACAAATGATAAATTTGGCCCACGGCTGCTCATGGAGATGGTCGCATGGGACGTTTCATGTGCAATATAAGCTTGTAAACATCCATTCTTTCTTTTTCTTTACTTTCTTTCTCTCCCACATGGAAATAATCCAAACAGCAGCTGCCTCTCTGCCAGTATCAAACCAGTACTTTACAGCCTCATTTGATGCCCACTTGGGATGAAGGAATAACTTGCTACACAAGTTAGTGTTTCCAGTTTAATACCCTCTTGGCACCAATGGTGCTCTCTGCACAACCTTTCTGTCTAATTCTAAAAGTATGAGTGAGGACTAGCACTAGCTGTCAAGGACACCAAGGTTCACATGAGGGTGATTACTTACCTCTAACTACAAATTGAGATGTGGGAAAAGAAGGGGTTTGTTTTCAAATTCTGGTTCACTCTGCTGAAGGTTGCCTGGATGAGCGTTCAACAAGAAGTGTGGCTTTTCCTATGTGTTCCCTTGTACATACTGCAAATGCTAGCAGAAAATAGTCTCTCCTCCCCAAAACCCAAAGTAAGCAGAACAGAGGTGCATTACCAAGTCCATCTGCAGAGTAGATGTTAGTATGAGAAAGCCCTTGGCTATCCCATTAGCCCCATAGTTCTACAGGTCAGAGCTGCACAAGGGACCATGGGACACTACATCACTCTAGCTCCAGCCTGCACCCCAGAAGTAAAGGGAGTACCCTCAGGGCATAAAGACATTCATGCCACAGTCCTGTTCCTAGAGACACAGGCCCTGGAAAGGTCTCACAGTAAGGCTTGAGAAAAGCAAGTTGATATGCCTCCACCACATGTAGGAGAAGAAATAGGCAGAGACACCAAGCAAGTCTAGGTGGGTATCAGAACTTCAAAGCTATGCAATGACAATGAAGAAATGCTCATCCTATCCAAATAGGCTGCTGCTGAAGCAATTTATTTTCCCAGTCTGTAGTATGGTGCTCACACTGTGCTACTCCAATAGAGGGTAGGGCAAGGAAAGAACTGAGAATGGGAGCTGCTCCAAGCCACAGAATACAGCTGCAGATCATGAACCTGTCAAAGCCTAAGGATGTTCAAGTCTATGGCATACTTTGTGAGGGTCACATCATTGTAGGGCTGGGCAGTAGGAACAGGCAGCAGTTGCTGTCAGCAAATCTCTGCCCAAATTCCAGGCAGGTACTGGGGTTTTGAAGCCTGAAGGTTGGTCTTCTGACAGGTAATCAAAGTGCACCTCATCACAGAAGACTGTCTTGCTAGAATGAGTGTGGGAAACAGGTGGTGATGGGTTCCGCAAGAGTTCCAGCTGCTTTATCACACTTCACATCTTTTTAGCATCAACCTCTTTCTGGCTAAGCCTTCTCAGAAGATATGAGTGAGGAGAGGGATTTGGTGTTACTTGGGTTGGAGAAAACTGGAACAGTTGATAGCCAAGGACAATAAACACAATGGTAATCTTCCCCAACAGAGCGAATCTCTTCTAAAGTTGCCTAGACCTTAAATCTTGGATTCCTCCCATATGGGGGTTATTATCCATATTATCCTCCCATATGGGGGATAAGGTTAATTTCCCTTCCTTTTGGCCACAACAGCCTAAAAATAAGCCAGCATGAGAAACTTTCAAAACTTGAGTCCCAAGGTGGATAACTACTAACAGCATCGCCAAGACACAAGAAGAATGACCACTGCAACCAGCCCAAGAAATGTTGAGTCACTGAAGCAAAGGGGTCCTCACAGATTCCTTCAGGTTGACCCCTTCACAGCTCAGTCTCCTCAGGTGCATCCCAGAGCCTTTTACTCTGTTTCCACTCTGCTACCAAAGTAGCGATTCTGGGAGCAGGGCACTGGTTTCAGGAATGTCCCAAGTATCTGAGGCATTACCAATTTCAAGAAGCACTGGTTTGCTTCAAGCATTGCCAGCTTAAAAACGAAGACACAGAAAGCAGAAGGCATCTACAGTGCTACATCCCACACAAGCTCTAGGGACCCCTGGCTGTTACTGACATCATGGGTCCTGGGTAAGAATGAGTCACATGGACAGGCAGAGCTATCTTTTTCATGGATGGATCTACTCTCGTAGGGAAAATGGACCCTGGGGACACTGCACCATTCCCTTTGCTCCTGAACCAGGTGCACATGGTCCTAGGGCAATGCAGCTCCTTGCTGGCCCCGCAGCAAGGCAGAGACATGCAGTAGAACTGTGGGAAGGTCTGGGTTGCCACTAAACGACTTACACTGCACATCTACTCGAATGGACTTGATGGCAGGGACCCCAACCCCATTTTCTGCTTTACAGTAATAGCGGCCCCCCTGCAGCCTTTGGATCTTCTCAATCCGAAGGGTCTCGTTAAGCACTGACGTCTCTTGGAATTTGTCCGATGCGCTGCCAGCGGTTTTGGTCCATCTCACCTGCATGAGAAGAATGTGAGGAATGCAAACAATCAGTGACACAAACTAGAGATCCCAAGGGACAGCAGCACTCCCTTTGCTCCTCTTCCCCCTCCTCCATAGCCACTCTCAAAAACGGGCCCTACAGCACCACTGGATCTTGCCAAAGTTCAACTACTGATCTCGGTATGTCTCGGTAGACCAGCTGCTGATTCTCATCCTCACATCCAGGAGTCCAGGGTAGCCCCTCAGTTCACTCAGACACACAGTGCACATTTACCACTCCTGCTCTGGTCCTGTAAACCCAGCAGCTTGGTTAATTTTATACCACTACTGCACAACACAGGACTTTCAGCATTAAGCCTTGGGACCCCATGTGGCTGGTAGGCCACGAAGCTACAGCAGACATCAGCTCACAGCTACAGAGCTTTTATTGCAGTAAACACTCATCTTTCTCTGGACAGCAAGGCTATTTCTGCTTTTTGCTTTTCCAAGAAAGAGTGGGAAAATGCAGCTGCTATCTGGCTCTTGCTCCTTTCCCACAGGGAACCCCTGTGTGTGTTATTTTTATAAGCCATCCTTTTGCAGTACACAAGCTTTTACTTTGATTTTAAAGACAGAGAAAAAGAAAAGAAAAAATCTCTTCAGATTCCAAGCTATCTTGCACCTTTTGTCCTTATGTTACATGACTTAAGATCCTGGCTTGCAAGGGTAACTGATCTGCATGACAATTCATGGTGACTGGTGGTTAAGAGGACAGAACTCCTAAAGATTGAATGGTTATTTTTATGTCTGGAATGAGGTATAGCCCTAAAAATGGCAGTATAAGCTTCTCCCTTGTTTTCTGCAGTGCAGACAATAAAATAGAGAGAAGACAATGAAAGAGAGAGAGTTTTTCTCAGACCATTGGTCTCCTGTATCTGCAACTTCCTTTCTAAAGGCTGGTGACTGGTGCTCTCCCACAGTGGTGCCCATCTAAAGTCTGGTAGTGAGATCTGGCAAGATCAGCAAATAGAAAGAAGAGAGACTTTCGTTCAACACTGACCACAGATAAGATAGACCAGACACCTTGACTCCTCTGCCAGACTTTGCTTGAAGCTCACTGCCATCACCTGGTTGATGCTGATGCTCTACAAAGAACAGGAGTGTCTGTATCCCACTCTCAAAGCACTAGGCTGAGCAGATTTTTGTAGCTAATGACCATGGATTTATTTAGCATTTGTAGACTTATTATGAAATCGTCAAAGGGCCCCAAGACTCTCAGATTCTCCTGTTTGCAAGGACACTTCAGCCAGCTCTTTAATCTTTTAAATTTTAATCTCATTTAAGTATTTTGGACACATTTTTGTGCTTTAATGACTGGCTGATAGAAGGGAAAATAAAAGATTAAACAAAGGTTAAGAGCTAAGCTGGGGAAGAAATCTATCCATGAGGAGGGAGGGCAGACATAGGACGCATGACATGCTTTATGTGTGTGGGTCATGCCTCCCCAGTCATGCCTCGTGGGTGTGGTGTCCTCTATGCATGTTCAGGCAATGGCAAGCCACAATATTACCCACTAGCTGTCTGCACCAGCTCTGCTCCAGCAACCTCTCTGTCTACTTAGGCTCAAATCCCTGCAACCTGCCACCACCTTCCCACCCATTCAACATCCTTAGGCAGGGCCAGCCCATCATCTTAGCTTCTGACATACGCAGCTATCATCTGCCCATCACTGTCACAAGCCTAGGCTGGTCATTTTTGCTGTCTTGGCTCAGATTATTTCCTTTTTGTTGTTTCCAGGATATGCTTTGATGGATAAACCATTTCAAATTCTGCTGGCTGAGTCACTCTCCCTCTCCTGTGTCATTGTCTCTTAGCCAAGTAGCTACTCAAAAGCAAGTCCACAGTGGCATTGACTGGTGTATGAAGATACATGGCTTCTCAGCACAGATATCCATGTCAGGATTTGGGAAGGAGGCCCAGAAGGCATACATACTGTACTTGGCTCCCTTGAGTGTATTCTGTCACATCCAGCCTCATAGTACACACTAGCTGCCATTTCTACCACACTCTGTCCCAGAGCAGGCAGACCCATGCTCTGGTCCAGTATCTTTATAGATATATCCACACTAACACTGAGCCTGCCTGCTTGAGCATCTGAAGGGTGGGGAGATGCCTGCATGGAGCTTGAGGCCATGCACCCCTCTATGGACCCTGTGGAAGAAGTGCAGCAGTTACCCAAGCTCAGCTCTCCACTGAACTGTGACTTAGACCACAACATGGCTATATCCAGCACTACAAGTCTAAATCTGCCTCTGGTTGGTGGCCATAAAGCAATGACCAGCAGGTTCTGCATGGGGCTCAGTATGAACAACTTCCCAAACTCCCCCAAGCAGGTTCCCCTTGCCTGTACATCCAGAGAAGCTAAGAGACTGAATGACCGTAAAGAACCAACTCCTGTGGCCAACACAGGCAGGAAGCCTCCTCTAACCTGTTCAGGTATTCCTGCTTTGCAGTAAGAGGTTTAAAGATTTAAGGGTGGTTTGTATAATGGATTCAATTTGGGTTTCAGTTTTCTGGGGGATTTCACATACTGATAACCATTAGAAGCTCTGTGTATGTTCCTGCAGAGCTTTGTGGACTGTTTTCCATGAAAGTAAGACTAGATGCTTCATAGCTTAACAGGCTAGTGCTTGCTATGGGGCATCCCTACTTGACTTCAACATGTAGGAGAAAGCGGGGAACCCTGCTGCCCGCAGTTCTCCTCTATGTGGAGATTACAGAGAGTTGCCACGGGGAGCAGGGGTGCCAGGCAAGACTGACAGCTTACCTGTGGCCGGGGGTGTCCTGTGACCAGACACTGCAGGACCAGCGTGTCCCCCTCCCGAATTGTGTAAACGCGTTCACTAATGTTGTCTTCCTTCACCACGCATGCCTGCCCGGCATGGATGATTTGGGCCTGAGCAGGAGCTGCAGAGAGGAAAGAAGAGGTAAAGAGGGAAGCGAGCAGCACCCCAGCCCGTTGCCCAGGGTGGCTGCTCCCATGGCAGAGTGGAAGAGCCACCTCTTAAGCCACAGAGGGGAAGAGCCAGACCGTGCTGGATGTGAGACACAAAGGTCTAAGGAGATAGAAAACTGAGTGATTTTCCCCATCTCCTGGGCAGCTGGCATCAACTGCTATTTAAAAACCTTTGGTCCTGTTGGGATGAGCAACTTTAGGCACTGAAAAGCAGAACATGGAGCATGTGGACCCTCCTACACAGGCTGAGGACCAAGAATTCTCTGCTCTCATCTCTTCCAGAGAAGAGTCTGTGCAAGTAGTTAAAGCAGGGACCTGGTCAAATCACAACTGCTCTAAAACTGTCTAAACCAGGCCAGATTACTATGATTTACTTTGCAGGGGGCTGGGATAACTACTAAGCAGAGTCAGAAAGGGCCTTGGAGCTCTGTAGAGCTTTTAGCAACATCCCTAAAACAAGCATAGCACACGCTGCAGGAAAAACGAGTCTTTCCCAAATTACACAGAAATCTAAACCCTCAGCCAGAGGGAACAGTCTGTGGGATCAGGGGACCCATAATCTCTAGGGATCCCTCCAGCTAGGGCTTCAAATGGAGACCAGTTACTGCAAGTCTGGCCAGGAAAATGAGCGAAGTGGAAAACACATGGAAAGAAAATTCAGCTCTGGAGTCCTGTTCAAACAGCCCTTGGCTCCAAAAGAGTTTGTGTGATCACTGAAGCAGCTGACGTGTATTGAAGGTGACTGCACAGCCCAACAGGACACCTGTACTTGTTCAAAGGGAAAACTCCAGTCGCACTTCAAGGAGCAGCAAAACCCACAAATATGTCTAGGAATTGGCTCCTCAGTGACAGTCCCCCTGGGATTCTTCCCTGTCTTGCTACTATGCTTCCAGGTGACTCTGGAGTCGCGGCTTTAGCTCCCATTAGTGAAATACACCATAAACGAACAAACTACTGAGGACACGATCAAAGGGTTTAAAGCAATGAGACTTCTGAAACAAGCACAGATTTTGCACAACCTGTTAGTGCCGAACTGAGCACCCACTTTTTCCTCAAGTTTAGTTGAGCTTCAAAGACTACTTCTATTTGTTTGCTTGTTTCCCTTAATTCTTTTGGCATGACCAAAATGCTCTAAACACAATCACTTGGGCAAGAGAAGTGCTCAGATTTACCAGATTTATGCTGGTTTAACCAGCATAAATTGACCAGCAGCACAGACCTCATGCACTCTGAGCTCAGGCAGTGGAGGAGATCTGCCTTTGAGGTCAGCCTTTATGAACTGGTTTCACCACAATGCACTGACCAAGCAGCAGTGACACAGGAGTGGACACAGGGCTAGTGAGCAGCAAGCTGCTCTTGCTGCTGGGGCTGCACAGCCTGCCATGGCTACCCAGCACTCAGGGAACAGCATGGCATACACAGCAAGCTACTTCCTCTTTTTGTATCTCTTCTGTCTTTAGTCCAGAGTGGTGGCACTTTGCTAAGATCATTATTACTGTCTGAAGTGTTAACCAGAAGAAGCAACAAGTGGATTTGGACAATATGATGGCATAAACACGGACAAATCCGTCAACCTCCCCCATCTTCCCCTTCTGCAGTGCTCCCAGGAACAGGCCTGCTATTGCTCAAGCATCATGCTGAAACTGTCAAAGCTTCACTGAATACAACTGAGTAGATGAGTGACCTTCCTTTCTTTGCTTGGATTGCAGAAGGAAAAAGCAGAAACCTATATACGTACTTGCACACACCTATGTGTTTATAAACATACATGTATGGATATACATACAGGTATGTAAATACATTAAGAAAAATAGTGACTTCTCAAGGAAAAGACACCATGAATGCTTGCCAAGCGAACAGTGGCAGAGGAGTAATTCAAAGGTGTATATAACCTTTGCCAATATACCTTAACCCAAATGACAGTCTCTTGTGCTGTTTTAGCCCTTGGATCAGCCCCCTGCAGACCTGCCATCACACCTTTAACCCCACATGCACTGCAGAGCATCACTCACATTGCCAAGACCCAGACTGTGATGCTGAAGAATCCCTGCCCTATGTTTAAAAGAGAGACCCTATTCCTTCCCATCCTATACAATATTTCCCCCCATCCCCAACGTGTGCTGCCTGTGTTTCAGTGGGATCCTGGCACCCTGCAGCAGCAAAGCTCTCCTAACTTCTCCTCACAGTCTCTGAGCTGCATTTGCCGGCTGGTGGCTCTATTCTACCTTTTCAAACACGACCTTGCTGCAAAAACTGATTTCCAGACACCCCATGGAGAATCAGAATACTTATCTGCAGCTCTAGCTCCCAGTTAAATGTTTCCTTCAGATGCTCTGCTGTACCCCACACGGTAAGTCTTTCAACTTACAACTCTTTTCCCTTTGGCCATCTCACTTCCACAGTTTCACCTGTCTTGTGTAAACCCTTTCTTGCCACCTGTGGAATTTCCACAGCAAAGTCATTAGGTACAATGGTATGGGATCAGAGTGTTTTTGTGTAACTGTTCTGGTGCCCAAATACCTTGTGGTAATTTGCAGGCGTCTCTCTGAGTTTGATAGAAGTATTATTTAAACGACTCCTTATTTAGCAACACAAAGCCCATACATGGCAAAACAACAACCTTAAGGATAAGTCCTGTGTCATAATTTGGTCCTCTTCTCCCAAATTCTCTTGGATCCACTGAGCTGCAATGAAGCTTACAAGCAAAGGTGTGCACACCCAGCTTTCTTCATAGGCATCTTAACTCGATTGTGTTAACACTGATACCTTTCAGCTACATTCACTGGAAAGGGACATCACTTCAAGAGAATCTCCACTGCTTCAGCTTTAACATCTCTCTTGCAATCACAGCACAAGTCTGCAGTAGAATAACAATGGCTTTGCCACGTCTTAAACCCCATCTGAACTCAGATCCCTCAGAAGGGAGCCTGGAGTTGTCTTGAAAAGAGAAGCACTCATATAACTGGCATAGGAGTCTGAGAAACTGCCTCTGGTTACAACTTGACACTAGTAAACTAGCAGGGGCTGAGCAATGAGTGAACCAACCCAGCTCTTACGGAATTGCATTAAATCACAAGATGACACTTGAGAAGGTCTCCACTCCAAGCTCAGCCTGCCACAGCACGCAACGGCTGGGGAAGTAACCGCATGCTGTATTACAGATAGGCAGAGAGATTGTGAGGATTAATTGCACTTTTAATGTACTTGAACAGAAAGAATACATTATTATTTGACATCACCCAAGGTCTCCTGGAGGATTTCAGTGCGCAGACAGTTTGTGCATTGCCAGCACAACAGGACAGCAGGACCATGTCTATCAGAGTAAACACTTTCACAGAAGACCCTTAGGATGGCAAAGAAAGGCTAGAGCATGAGGCCAGGTGGTAGAAATGAAGCAGTAATCTTAGCCAGTCTCAGCACTGCTTCACAAGAACAACTCTTGCACAGATATAACCTGCCCTGGTAAGTCCTGCTGGGGCAGAATCTCCTACCTCAGGCTGCCAAGGAAGACCTCTAATGACCAATATGGGGGAAGGAGGGATCGTTCCCACCCTTTCTTCCCAGCATTTTAAGGGACAGGTGCATCATCACTTCCATTTTACTTCCAGGTAAAACATCAGCTTGGGGAGGGCACCCAATACTAAGTCCTCCAGAGAAACTAGACTAGCCAAATATTGAGTGCCACATGCTTTACAAGGGGGCAGAGGGAGAGAAATCAGGCAGCATTAAGGAAAGGGCTGGTTTGCAACCCATTTGGCCTCTGCACTGAGATTTCCTACAATGCTTTCACTTGACATATTAACACATTAAAACAAAAAGAAATTGGAGTGGATAAAATAACTTTATTCCCAGTGCAGTGTACAATGTTATTATTACCATAATCTGGAAAGTTTATGAGACTCTTGGTGCTTAGAGGTTGCTAATATCATTAAAATGCAGGAAAGGAGAGAGAAATGGCCTTTTGGAGAGGACTGAGTAATCTGTATTTGGTTCACAGGCCTAGTCATTCATCTTTCTGAGCCTGAGATCCCATTGCTACAATGGCAATGAGGAATGGTCTTTCACAGAAAGGGTGGTGAATGACAGATACCGCTTTGACACTCCCTCAGTCACACTCAGCAACCGCAAGGGCAGGCTGCTACCCCTTTGGCAGCACAGCATCAACTGCACTTTGCTACTGCCTTCTCAGCAGGCTAACACTAGCCATCATTGTTAAACTCACCATCACCTTTGCCACCTTCACATGTCCTGCAGACAGCCCCAAGGATGGAGAACACTCACCTCCAAAGCTGCTGGCCCAATACCTGCAGCTACACACAACAGGGACAATGAATCCACCCATCTCCACTACTGCCTTCCTGCAGGGTGGGGAGAGAGGGAAGCTGCATCTGGAGCTTTCCCTCTTCCTCAGTCTTTATCTACCACCCTTATTTGCAAGGCAAGCGATGCCCTCCCATACATCTGGCGTAATTATAATTCAGCCTCTTCTACACATAAGCTAGGCAAAGAAGCCCGGGTCCTTCCCCATTCCTGTTCCTAGGCTCCCTGGACTCACGCTGCTGGCTTACATAGGAGCAAGAGCTGGGGGGCATTTGCTGCTAATCTGCTGCTTAATGTTCTTGTTCCCTTCAGAACCTACCTCTCTCCTTCCCTCACCCTTCTCATCCTGAGCAAGTAGAATGAAAGGGATGCATCTTGAAGGGAGCTCAAGGGGAAAAATACACCATATTTATGGAGTAAGTGGGGTTGAATGAGCATTTCATTAAGGAAATCCACATGTGGTATTCCTTGCTGAATGGCCACTCTCACTAACTGCCTGTCCATGGGTGGAATTGCCCCGCAGCACTGTTTGTTACAGACCCTGCATGGCAAAGCACCCAGGGAGCTTCTCAGGCCTTTAAGTCACTGCTTTAGCATTTTATCCCACCTGTTCATACAATGCACAACTCTGCTTGAAGAGCAAGGGCATACAAACACAAGATCTTTGAGAAAGGGGTCACGACCTCTTAGCAGAGCACAAAGAGAAGCCAGCACACAAGTAAAGGGA